TTAATATAAAATTATGAAGTAGAGAAATGAGACACATTTGGCTAAAAAAGTTCATATTTGTTTAAGTTTCAAGTGTATTAGTAAAATTTCTTTAATTTCAGATGAGTATACGGCGAGCCAGAAAGACATCATAAATCGTATCGAAAATAAATAAATTGGAAAGTAATTCTGAGAAAAACAAACTTAGAATCTTTATAAATGAAATATTATAACTTCAATAATTTTCCGAATTTCTATAATGGATGCGTTACATAATATTCCTAACGTAAAAAGATTTAAAACTTAAAAAAAGCTTAAACAAATTTCCAGACAATTATGCCCTCCTCACAAGTTCAAAGCTAAGAAATTTTTTTAATACTTCATAAAAAGAATGGGTTGTATAAAATGCATGTATAAAATATTCTCACTAAAAAGTTGTTTCGAAATAAAGTAGTAAAATTATTCTAATCATGTATGGGATTTTACTAATTTTCAAAGAATTTTAATATTCTTATAAAGCGAGAAGGTTCAAGAACCTGCCACTATATATGCGAATATATTGCTAAGATTGAATGGCAGAGTGCAGCTAAAGGTACAGATATAGTTAAGAAACTATTAACAGAAATCAACGACAATCACAAAACATATTCCGAGTTTACCTTCAATTTTCGTGAATTTCGGGGAACGTTCTTGTTATCCATGGATCCATCTCGGTAAAGAAAGGAGCAACGCAAAAGGAGCCTGGGACGTGCAGACATTACGAGAAAATAAATTGTCGAGGTTGAATGAAGGAGTAGAGGTAAGGACGTGGGTGTAATTAGGCGCAAACAACGAAGCGCGGATGCGCGCTAACGACGCGGTGGACGAACAATGAGTTTCATGGATGCTTGAGCCTTCTGGGGCCCAAGAGGTATTGTACTTCTGTCTGTTCGAAAATAGTGATGTAATTTCGGAAATAAGGCAACGGTATCAATTTTTTTAGGTAACCACTTGCTTCATTTCCTATAAAATATTAGAACACTAATTGAAGACATTAATTCTCAAAAAGCGGATATTATTTTATTCCATAATAGAACTTTCATTCTGCGAAAATTGTACAAAAATATTCTACCTCCAATTTTATGCATATTATTAACTGCACCTATTATAATTACGTAAAAAAATTAATAAATATGTAATTATATAAATACACTTAGTCCACAAAATTGTTTAAAATCGATATATTTATAATAAAAATATTGTGCTCACCGGATAATAGATATTTTGAACTCTCTGATATATTTATGATGCTTGAAGTACATGTGAGAATAATGTTTGTACATTTTATTACAATCGAATAATACACGTCCGCTATGTTCATTATTATTACAATATATCGATTTTAAATACTTTTGTGGGCCAGTGAAGGTATAGTACTTTTACCGTTGTGTTAAAACGACGCGGCATTCATAGTTCAAAGGTTAAACGATTTGTAAAAAATGGAAGTGAAACGATTGAAGGAATAAAGTATTATTCAACGCAAAGTGCACTCGAATCCTGCCCCGGAGTAAATTCTCATTAAAAGGAGTGTCAGATTAGGGGCGTAAAATTCTCTGTACCAATGATCATTGGATCATTGGATCGTTCGATGTGGGCACCGGATGGGGAATCTAACCTTGAAGTCCAATTGCACCGGTTGCCGATAAAACCTGATTACCGGCAGAATTGAATTTTCAAACAAAATGCGCGCGCGCGCGCGCGTGAAAATTACACTCCTCGGCCGGCGGTTATGGAGACCTTGGCATTAGAGTGGATCGAAGGTGCAATTGAGTCAATCGGCTTGCGACGCTCGCCGCCAACTCGTTTGTATTACGCACTACAGATAACAGATAACTTCTTCGCGGAATAAAAATAGACACGGCGTAACGATTGCCGGGTATCCCATTTTCTTTCAAAACTGTTGCACAAACGTGTGTCATTATGTAATTGTTTTAAACTTTTACTCTCCCATGACCTCGGACTCTCGCTATCTGACCTTAATGCCACTGAAATAGAACGATAGATAATAGGAAATTATATATGTGATTTAATACGTGTATATTATCAGATTCGCTTTATTAAACAAAAACATGTTGCGTATGGAACAGAGCAAAAGAAATGTGGTTAGTTTACAGTTATGTCAAAACATGTTATGCGCAGAGCTCTTATATATTTAAATGCTATTGTGATGCATTACTTTCAAGTATTCAAGACTTTTACTTTTTCCTTTTAATCTTTTAAGAACATTACAACATTAGAAGTGAACTTTGAGCGTTGTTTGCATGCTCGAGGGTGGTTTGGTTATGTCTAAATCTTTTGAAGTTGTTTTAATATAATTTCTGAGTTAAAACCATGATTGGTGATTGGGAGTGGACCATATATTTTTGAAGATTTAATGTACTTCACATCTGATTTCTCTTTTTCAATTTCACAATTCTAATATTTCTACTTAGGTTTATTATTCCATAGCACCTCCTTCAGTAGTATACACACTATATCAAAGTACGAAAATAAAAATAGTTGTTCTAAAAAAAATACTCAAAATAAAGTACTTAAAAACTGAAAAAACGAATGTTCTTCTTCTCATCACCAAATAACTCACAAATAATTAATGAC